AGGATTGTGACAGAGTTATTTTGTGGGGGGAGTTTGTAAAGACCAGATCTTTTTGAGCTCCTTTTCCCTTCAGAGATTCCACCCATAAGATCCTTTTTTTACACAGAAATCAGAATTCCATTCTCCCAAACTCCTCATCACTATAACATCAAGGCAGTGACAAAACTGTTTCTTGTAGAGAAATCTCCATAGGCTGAAAAAAAAAAGACTCCTCTCCCAAGTAAATTAGGGAAAGACTATTTTAGATATGGTAAACTGAGTTGTTTTCTGTACATTTTTAGTGTAAAAGAAAAAAAGTGGGTGGGGGAGAGGAAAAGTGATCTAAAGTTTTATTCTGAGGTTTTTTTCTTAATAGTTTCTAGTAATAAAGTTTCTCATTATACCATTTAAAGTTAAGGCTGTTTTGCCTTCCTCCTAATCCTGCCTCACAGCAGAAAAATTTCAAGTTAACAAACCAAAACCAGCAGCCCATCCTCCAGACTTTCCCACATTTCCTGATTTGTGGCTTTTGCCAGACCCCCAGCGTGGTGTCACTCCCAGTGGGGTCAGTGACAATGAACATTTATTTTATTTTGGGTAGAATCATGGAATGGTCATCAAAGATTGTCCAGTTCCACCCCCTGCCATGGGCAGGGACACTTTCCACTGTCCCAGGGTATCCCAACCTGGCCTTGGACACTTCCAAGGATCCAGGGGCAGCCACAGCTGCTCTGGGAATTCTGTTCCAGAATAGAATTATTCTATTCCTCATCCTCACAGGGAAGGATTTTTTCCCAATAATTAATCCAAACCTACTCTCATTCATGCTGTCATCTCTTAACTGTGGCTCACCAGCCTAAATAATTCTGGAATTCTTTGATTTTACTAAAATTGAAAGAGTTTTTTGGGTTTGGTTTTGTTGTTTTTTTTTTTTTTTTGTTGCTTTTACAATCCTCTCTAAACAACCTATTTGAGAGTGAGATTTTTCAGGCAAGGAACTTGAAGGGAAGGGACAAATCTGGCCATAACTCTTTGTGCCCAGGTATTTTAACATCTGGAATGCACTGCTGGCTGTGGTAATGCCTCTGCAATACTGTAACACAGCAGGATGCTTTAATGAGAGTTTCAACCTTAAACCCACAACATCAATGAAATTTATAGTTGTTAACATTATTCAAACATAGTTTTGGGGGTTTCAGTTCCCATTTTATGTTCATGTAGGATGAAAAGTGGTTGTGTTGGCAAGCCAGAGTCCTCCTTGCACTTGGAATTTCTGTAAAATAATTAAATATTGTGTATTGCTCTTGCACTACAGGGTGGGAGGAGGGTATTTGTATAAAAAAACTGAGCTAGAACCTCTCTCTTACTATTTCAGCTGCTTTAATATTCTTCAATGCCAAAAGTGCCTTGCTCACATTTTGGAAAATACCACAAAAATGTTCCAAAAAAGAGAAAAATTTCTATAAAATTGCAGTATCATCTTCTGTGATCATATAGATGCCATCTGATATTTTTCCTGATGGGTTAAATTTATCTTCAGATGTTTCATGCTTCCATAATCTTGTATCTCATTGTGGTCTTTGGAATTAATAGACAGAGCAAGATGGTTAAAGAGGACAAAAAAAACCAAACAAAACAAAACAAAAAACAAACAAAAAAAAAACCCAAAGAAGAATGGAGAACTTCTTGAAGGAAAACATTTCAGGGGGGAAAATGTGGTGAGCACTGTGATTAAGGCACTCTGCCGAAAAACGAAATTAAGTCTGCAACTGATTAAGTTGAAAGAAAAGAAGGGAAGTCAATATGTAAAAAAGTGCACGTACAGTTAATCTGGCTGGTAAGGAAAATCCAAGTTGCTTCTCCCAGAAAAGAAAAAAAAAAAAAAAAAAAAAAAAATCCCCACCAAACCAACAAGCACACACCATGTACAGAGCTCTGAAATTGGGGGAAGGCAGGCAGGGGGTGTGTGGAGATTTTTATTATCATTGGCTTCATGGTAATTCCAGCACAATCTCAGGAAGTAGTAAAAAATCAATCTGTGTGTCTCTTGCTGTATCAGTCTGGGAATTAACAACTTCCCCGTGTTGTGTCCTTTACAGAATTTCTTTCTGACCCTTAAAAGTCCAACCAACCTCAGTCTCTCCATGTAATAAGTTGTTACCTGCTGCCAAGTCTCCAAGAGCTGCATCATTTCTTCTCCTAATTGTATCTCTTTGGTGTGGAAGCCTGTGTTTTGCATTCCTAATTAGCTTTTTTCCTGCTCTGTTTATTTTCCTCCCCTCATGGCAGCACATGATTTTTCCTTTTTTTTTTTTTTTTTAATTTAAAAACAGATGCATGAATGGAAAAGCAACAGAAATCAGTGTGTTTCAACAAAGCCTGTAATCTCTTCCTAACTCTGTGTCCAAGTATAAATCGGATTTTGATGTTGCAAAAGAGTGGACTTGGTGTTGTAATCAGGCTGCTCCCAGAACACAGGGATGGAACCTCCTGAGCTTTGGGGGATTTTCCTCCTGAGGGGCTGGAGAGTGTCCAGGGAAGGGATGGGGATGGAAAAAATCAACCTGGGAGGAGCAGCTGGAGTGGGAAAGGGGCTGAGGCTGGAGCAAAGGAGGCTCAGGGGGGACCTTGTGGCTCTGCACAAGTCCCTGCCAGGAGGGGCAGGCAAAGGAGGAGAGGAAATGGCCTCAAATTGCAGCAGGGCAGGCTCAGGGTGGAGATTGGCAAAGAAAATTTCCCTGGCAGAGTGGTCAGGCCTTGGGATGAGCTGCCCAGGGAGGTTTGCAGTCACTGTCTGTGGGAGTGTTCAGGAGCAGGCTGGATGTGGCCCTTGGGGACAGGGTTTGGGGGATGCTGGGGTGGCACTGGATGGTCCTGGAGGGCTCTTCCAGCCCTGATGATTCTGGGATTTAGTGCCAAGAGGTCAAATTTACTGCTAAAGGTGGTAGGTGGGTGGCTCTGGTCTCAGCATGTGATCCTCAGGGTCCAGAGGAGACAATGATCAAGGTGTGTTCCATGGAAGGTGACTGGCAGAGAATTTCTGGTATTGAATGACATTTCCATGACTGGGGAATAATGTGGGAATATTATTGTGGAGCCTGGTGCAGCTCCTGCTGCTCTGTGTGTCCCTGCCCATGCCAGGGGTGGAACTGGATCTTCTTCAAGGTCCTTTCCAACCCAAACCATTCCAGCACTCTGTGATTTCTAATTAGCAAAGGCATTTGTGATCCAGACTTTGCTTGGGCTTTCCAGTAACCTCATCATCATGAAAGTAGAATCACAAAATCTCAGAATCAAAGAATTACAGAATCTCAGAATCACAGAATCACAGAATTACAGAATTACAGAATCACTGAATCATAGAATTACAGAATCTCAGTATCACAGAATTACAGGATCTCAGAATTACAGAATCAGAGAAGCACAGAATTACAGAATCTCAGAATCACAGAATCACAGAATTACAGAATCAGGGAATCACAGAATCATAGAATCACAGAATTACAGAATCTCAGAATCTCAGAATCTCAGAATCACAGAGTTACAGAATCAGAAAATCACAGAATCACAGAATTACAGAATCTCAGAATCACAGGATTACAGAATCAGAGAATCAGAGAATCACAGAATTACAGAATCACAGACTCACAGACTCTCAGAATCACAGAATCACAGAATCTCAGAATCACCAGGTTGGAAGAGACCTTTAAGATCATCAAGTCCAACCCAAGCCCTAACACCTCAATTAAACCATGGCACCAAGTGCCACATCCAGTCTCTTTTTACTCATCCAGGGATGGTGACTCCACCACCTCCCCAGGCAGAAAATTCCAGCATTTTTTCACTCTTTCTTTAAAAACTTTTCCTAACATCCAGCCTAAATTGAGTTAGCATTTGAAAGATGCTCTAAAATCTCTGGGTTTCCTGCATTTTGAATGTGTGGGGCAGGAGCAATGGATGGTTCCTCACCTTGTCAGCAGCACAAAGACATCGTGTCTGTGCTGCTCCTGCACTTCCTCAACTGCAGAGCTTGAAACAGCTCCCAAAGCCACCTGAAATTCAGGGGAAATCACCATGAATGGCACTTTTTTTTTCTCTGATGTGGGCTGCCCTCACCCCAAGACAAGATTGCTTTTATAGGAATGAACAACATCATGTTTGTGCCAGTGGGAGAAGCAGATTTGTGGGCTAGACATCACTTTTTGGGCTTACCTCACAGGCAACATCTTGAATATGTTTTATCTCTTAAATAACTCTTCCTGAAAACGTGAAATGGAGGAGGGTCGTGGTACAGTTCAGATCTGTATAAAAGTTCTCACAGTAGGGTTTTTTCTTCTTTTCTTTCTTTTTTTTTTTTTTTTAAAGTGTAGCATTGACTCATTTGGTGGTGTTAAAGTGCACTTTCTACTTATCCCCAGAGGAAAGTTAGTATTCTTTTAAGTGAAACTATTTTAAAAGCAGAACACAAGCCTAAAATAAGCCAGTGTTCTCTAGAGCTCTCAGAAGGTGTAGATTTATTTACTGTAGTTAAATCATAATTAGTTCTCAGGGGATAGTGTATCTTTTAAACTGCTTTATTGCCACCATATTGGTTTTCTAAATAATCAGAAACTGCTGCTCTTATATTTTGTAGTATGAACAAAAATTCCCTGTAAGTAGAAACAAATGTTTAGAATTGCTGGTTGTCACTTGCTGAAGATAGGGACACCAAAAAAATGAGCACTTGAGGAAAAAGTGAAGAAATACAAAACCTGTGTTATCAGAACTTCAATGAACTATGGCTCTGACTTATTTCAGCCCAACAGATAAAAAAAATAATGTTTTACATTATCGTTTTTCAGCCAATTATTTTTTAATATTCTAATGGGTTTGAATCGGGACTAAATGTTAACTGAAAAAAATGGTGGTGCAACGTTAACATAAAATATTACCTGATATTTAAGCCTTGATTTTCATGAATGTAGCTTAGTGTTGCAGCTGATAAGCATGTGGGGTTTTTGGTTTTTTTCCCTAATTGGCAGGTTAATGTTCGAGTTGCCTGAGGAGATGGGTTTAATAGCAGTGGCTGCTCGACAAACACAAGGGAAAGGTGAGTAAATTTCCCTTTTTTTACCAATAAATGTGCATTAAATACAAAAAATGGGACATTTTAAGATGCATTATGAGCATTTTTGATAATACAAACCATAGAATAAACCTGTCCTCATCTCCTCCCTCTCAAACCGTGGATTCAAACTGAAAACCCAAAAGTTCATAAGACACCAAAGTAAACATTTTCAGGATGTTTGGTGGCTTTTGCAGAAATGATTTAGTGGTCTCTTGGTTCCTGCCAAAAAAAAAAAAAAAAAAAATTTTGCCAGTCACAAAAACTGCCATCACTACAGTCAGTGTAACCCAAGTCAGAGCTCCAAGTGAAAGCTGAGACTGGCTTAACTGGAACAAGACTGGGCCTTGACTTGCTCTGGGCTTGAGTCTGCAGGACCTGCCTGAGCACATCAATGTAAGCAAGTCGTGTTTCTTGCCCAGAAAAATGCTGGCACTTCTTTAAAAGCCACATTTATTCTACTGGAAGAGCAGAGTGTGTGGCCCAAGGAGCTTTTCCGAGCACAAATCCATGAAAAGATGATTCCCTGGCTTTCAGTGCCAGGGTTCAGAGTTTGGATGCATTTCTGGCTGCACAAAAAGCATCTTCACGAATGCTTCTCCACTTAAGCAAAGCAAGATCTTTTGAAAATCCTGGAAGTGGGGGATTTAGGACATGCTGGAGAATTCAGTAGCAGCTTGTACTTGAGAACCTCAGAACGGAATTATAGAATGGCCTGAGTTGGAAGGGACCTTAAAGATCAACTTGTTCCACCCCCTGCCACACCTTCCACACAACCAGGTTTGCTCAGAGCCCCATCCAACCTGGCCTTGAACACTTACAGGGGTGGGAATATTTTAAAAAATCTCTCTTTTTTTTTTTTTTTTTAAGAAAAAGATTTGCACTTTTAACCCTTTTTCTTTCAAAATTCATTTGGAAACTCCATTAAAGGACTTTTGGTACATTCTTGGATGGATACCTTTGAATCTTTCTCTTTAGTTGTTACCTACATTCACAAAGTGATCTTTTTTACTGATTTTCTTGTGTTGAAGTTACCCTTTTTCCTCTCCCTGCCCAGGTCGTGGTGGAAACGTTTGGCTCAGTCCCCTGGGCTGTGCCCTGTCCACTCTGCACATCTCCATCCCTCTACATTCCAACCTAGGCCAGAGAATCCCTTTTATCCAGCACCTGGTGTCCTTGGCAGTGGTAGAGGCAGTCAGATCCATACCAGGATATGAGGTATGTCCTTCTAACTCATCCCAAAATTCCTGGTTCCATTTCCATTGAATTCAGATTTTAGCTGTGTCTTTTCTGTGTAGAATGGCTGAATGCATAGCTCAGTTCTTCAGCACTAAGAAGAACCTAAAGTTAACATTCCTGATGTTGGATTATTGATATGGTTGAAGAAATCCAATATCCAGAGGATGAAAACTCCTTTACTGAGCTGACCAAATGCACTGCACTCATTTCACTCCTAATCTTATGAAACCTAAGCCTCAATCCTCAGCACTAAAGAAAAAGTCAATTTTGTTTGCCTGACAATGGAGTTGATTTGTTTTGATTTTGAAGGAGAATAAGGAGGAGGGAAAAATGAATAAAACTGACAAATCCTTTTCTGCTTTTTTTGTTGGTGCTGTTTCAGTGGTCACTTTATCCCTTTTAAAGGATTTTTCCAACCCTTGTTTAAGGTTGAAAACTGATTTCTAAAGCAAGAACTGAGGAGAATTGCTCTCGAGAGGGAATCAAGTGTCCTGTCATCAGTATTAAAATGAAGAACCAGTCTTCTTTATCACCTCATATATCTCCTTTTTAATGTTACCATTTCCTAATATTTGCTAACTATAAAACTTTGGTATTTTACAGAAGTAGTTAACTAAAGCATATGTTTCCTATATTACAGAAAATCAATGACTTATACACATTTACACATGAACTTTATTATAGTGGCACCCAGTAGCTTTGCTGGAGTTTAGGGTCTGTCAGCCTTTCTATTAAAACCTTCTAAATTCAGTGCTTCATAACC